CACAGGTCGGACTGAACCCGGGCGCCCGCTCTTGAGGACTCAGTCTTTCGTACATTAGGCCCACGCGCTAACCGCTAGGCTACCGGCACTATGCTAGTGGTGATTTCTCCTGAATACTACCTGCTGCTCTGTAACTTCAGCTTACCCTAACAGGGATTCTACTAGAGGGCTGGCAGACACATTCAGGTTCAGTTTTGTACATTTTCAGGAGTTTTTGTGCATGTGTGAAAACACAATGAGTGTGTGCAGTTTACCGTGCATTGTTCTGGCCTTTGTGATCATTTTTGGTGTGCGTGTACAACCTGGAGTTGGGTAATTTTTCACACGATCCAGCTCCATTCCAAACACTTAACCCTACCTGCAGCACGTTGATAAGAAGCGGGCACGGCGATGGGCTACACCGTGCGCGTGTTTGTATGCACACATGCAAGCATCTGTGCCTGCATGTTGACGAATTTGTAAGCTCTTAGCATTCCTGGCACCGTCTGCCCGGCCGCACGCTCCTCTGATGCATCTTTAAGTACGTTTGTGTGCGTTATGTATTGATATGTGCGTGAAGGCTTGTGCAGGTCTGAATATTTGTGTTTATAAAATATTCCAGTTTCTAATCAGCATGCATGTGTACGTACACACGCAGACCAACAGTCATAACACTAATGCCAAAAACAAACAAACGGAGAGACAACAACGCAGGAGGAGAGGGGAGGAGAGGGGAGGGAGTAATCAAAAAATGAATAAAAATGTTGCCTGCAAATCTCTTCAGATCTACACATTATCTTAACCTGCAGCCTCAGCAACCTCTGCAGCTCACTCTCCTGCTGCCCCCTATACCCCCCACCCCCCTCTACCTTACGCTCTCCCATCTCATTCTTTTATTCTATTTTCACTATTGTGTGCTCTCTCTCTCTCTCTCTCTCTCTCTCTCTCTCCCACAATCTCCCTCTGTCTCTCTCACTGTTTCTTCCTCATTTGAATTTCCCTGGGCTGATGTTTCTGCAAGAGTGCTCACTGCCTCCTCGACACACAACTGGGCTAGAGGAGGGGGTCTGGAGCTGGTGGGCAGGCTCGAGGTTTTGGCCTGGTTTTGGCAGGAAAGGAGGATTTTAGGTCTCTGTCTCTCTTTCTTTCTTCCTCTCTCGCGCGTCTGGCTTCTCTCTGTGATCTTTGGAGCTTGACCTCATGTCTGCACATGGGGGGTCATGGGTGTGGTGGGGAAGGGGGTCTTAAAACGGGGAGAATGGGGGAGGGTTTAGTCCAAGTAAAATGAATTGAGGGCAAGGAAATTTGAGAGATGAGCTTTGAGTTTGGGGATGTGGTGATCCAAATTCCGAGCAGGGTTCGTGTTTTCTCAATGGAAAAGTAGCTAAATGTTTCTTTCTTATGACCAAGAATCCCTAAAAAAAAAAACAAAGTAATGAATATGAAGACAAAGCCTAAAATAGCTCTCTCCTTAGTTTAAAAACGCATCACTTGGCCAGTCTATTGCACAGGGTGGTATTCTCATACAAGCTCTGTGGTTCAATTCACTCAAACCTGCTCTTAACACCAACATACGTTAATTCAATTCAATTCAAACCTTTATTTATTCTTGAAAGGACACTGAGTTTCCCTCATTTCCAATGCGGTCGAGATTACAAGCACAGTAAAACAAGCAAAACACCGAAAAAATCACATCAGAGTGACAACATGTATATGAATCTGTAAAACTGTTTACACACATTACACACTCCTCAGATGTTCTGGACATTCAGGCTCTGATTTTTTTTTACTAACTGGTCTTTCACACATAGACCCCACAGCTGGAGATTTATCAGTGGGACGGGTTCACACAATTTAAAAATACTCAATTAGGTATGTGAGGGGTAACGACTGGGTACCACATGAAGAGGAGGAGGAGGAGTCTTCTGTAATGATGACTGTTTTTGAGTTAACATCGATCTAACATGTTGAAAAAAAAAATTCCATGGCGCTAGTCCTCCAAGCAGGCAGCCCAGGTTCAAATCTGACGTGTGGCTGTCCCCACTCTCTCTCTCTCTTACTGATTTTCCGACTCTATCCACTGTCCTATCTCTCCATAAAAGGCACAAAAAGCGCAAGACAAACACAACAGTGGGAAGAAAATAAAGACAACAGAGGCGAGCAGTAATGAATACGAGAAACTCTGCTCAACATAAACAACGTCATCACCCTGCCCACCAAACCAATAGTCTGGTGAATGAACCAGACTGTTACCTGCTGCGCTAATCTCAACTTCATAAGGACACAGTGCCAGGAAGAAGAACTGGACAACGTCTGGGGACTTTTCAGTGAGTGTAGTGCATAGGGGGGTTGGTGTAGAAATAGTCCCCGGCTAAAGAAGACTGACTTGTGTTTCAATGACTAAACGGCAGAATTATAAGAAAATAACTGAGCCTTTTTGGAAGATAAACGGTTTATTTGGAAGATTTCACTCAGCAGGAACAAAAAAAGCTCAAAGCTGAGATTCACAGACGAGTCAGACTGCAGCGAGAGAAACAAACTAACTCATTGTTGCTTTGGATCTCATTATATTTAAATGTGTTCTCTATTAACATGCATGAAGGGAAAACATATTAGAAACCCTACACACACCACCACACCCCACTATGACTTCAATGATACTGTGAAAAACTGGACATACACTGTAGACTGATTGTTTAATGAACGTAGGCCTTCATCTGCTTTCTGAGTTCTTGATGAGGTGCAGAAAGATCTTGGTGGACACCAGCTGTGTTGAATCATATCTGATGTAAAACCCTGTCAACACCGTCCTTCATACTACACCTGCCTGTACACAAAACTTGTTGTTGCAATATATTGAGACTGACATGTTCATTGCGAATGCTCATGTCTCGATAACCCGATAACATTTAGTTTCTGTTTACAAATTAGAAGAGGCGTTTAGCGCTGAAACAGTTAAGACATTAAAATTGATCGACACAAAATTAATCAGCACTCCAGAAAAGTTTTCAGATTTACACTTGATGCAGAAATGTCAAGCATGCTGCGTGAGCTATGGGACACAGAAGACAGACATTTCTCACATTTTAAACCAACAAATACCAGATTAATAAGAAAGATTAATGGAATATATTTATTTAATTCACACATACTCTAAAAAATGTGTTCGTTTTTGGTCCCGTAGGTCAATATGTCTCTTCTTGTCAGTTGCAGGTTTAGGTCTTTTAGCCAAGATAGAATACAGACTTACTTTCTTCTGGGGTTTTTTAACATACTGCTTTTATTATATAAAGACATTGACATAGTAGCAGTTTAATTGTAGGTCTTTGAGATGTGGCTGCTTGTTTGGTCATATCTGCAGTTCCATCCATGACCCTGCAGGGCTGAGTGTTAAACCCAAGATTGATTTCTGTTTTTAAACGCCATGATGTTTGTTGGCTCCTGTAGCCTGGCAGCATTGTTTGTTTTCTTCTCACATTTGTCTGAGAATGAGTGTGTTTGTGTGTTTGTGTGTGTGAGAGTGAGTAACAGGTTTGCACAGCAGTGACTAATAGTATTTGTACGCCTAAAGCCCATCTCAGCATCCCCATCAAATCACATTCACTACACTTAGCCTCCTCCTTTCACCGTACAGAAATTGAATCCTTTCATCCTTTTTTCCTCCCTCTCTTGTTCCGTCTCTCTCCTTCATGGTGTCACTTGTTCACATACTTTTTTACAATCTAATCTTTTCTCGCTTCCAAACATCTTCTTTTTATATATATATATAAAGTACGAGGACGCACACATGCTCACACAGGCCGAGCAAGCTATCTGACACCTGGCCGTGCAGGGGCAGCTGCTGGTGGGTGGATCTGGAGGAACACTGGATAAGGCAAAGAGAAAAGATAGCGGAGGAAAAAAAAGGGGGATGAGCGAGGGGCCTGTCCGGCAGCCATGCAGCAGCAACCACACGGAACAAGAAGAGGAAAAAGCCGGGCTTCCCAAAAAAATCCAGCTCAGTGCCTCTCCCAGCCGGAGAGGTGTGCGAGTACATGCGCGTGAATGAACCCGGGGGTGTAGGCGGGGTGTGCTGGAGCTAAACTTGAATTGTAAGTGGTTAAACTTCACTCAGTGGTCACACTCTTTTTTTTTTTTTCTTTTACTCTTTTTTTTTTTTCTTTCTCTGTCGCTCCCCCCAGTTCTCTCTTTTGCTTTTTTTTGTCCCCTCGGTCTTGGTCAGTGCACACCAAACTTTGTTTGAGGCTTAGAGAGTCAGCTCGCTCACTATCGGGGTGGCCGATCACATCACAGTGTGTGTGTGTGTGTGTGTGTGTGTGTGTGTGCTTTGTTGGAAGT